GATTGAGCTTATAAATAATGTATCCGACCCAAATATGTGAGGTGTTTATTGGTGTAGCTAGTGAAATTTCTTAAGGAGTTCATAAATAAATGTGTTTGTATGTGAGCACTCTCAAGATGGAGTCTTTTGGGAAGTTACACTAAGACGGAAAAAATATTGGGGCTCAGCTTGGTATGCAACAGGCTAGGCCAAAACAAATAATCTCCTGCATAATATGTTATGGTTTGTTGTGATTAACATCAAATATAGACCTCTACTATAATATATGGTTTCGGGATGAACCAAGCGGAAGTTGGTGGGCCTATAACATCATAACTTCAAAGAGGTTGATGAGTGATCGTAGGGGCTGAGATCCAAATATGGAGTGGCTCCTGGCATACTTCTGAGATAATAGGATTCAAAGAGAAAAAGAGGCATGAATGAATTTAGTCCCACATCAAAATGGGTGAAAATGTTATTGAGCTTATAAATAAAGTGTTAGACCAAAAAATGTGAACGCCATTGCATTTGCCAGGTGTAATTTCTTTATGAACTTCATAGTTATGCATGCTCGAGTAGGCGAAAACAATTAATTCCTTTTATAGCATTGTTACATCATAATCTAGCTAATATTACTTCTCGATATATCCTTGATAGTTCAACCACAAATTCATTTCAATATTTTTATTATGCTGCAATCAAGTTACCGTTAATCTCTTTTTTTTTTATGCCAATAGCCACATATGCATTATGAAGCAAATGAAATTACAAGTTTATAAAATTTACCTTGGGGAATTGTGGGCTTCGAAAATTCGTGCCCCGACTTCTCTATGGCCCTTTCTTTCTTTTTCGGGTCATCAAGGAGAGTTTTAACTTTTATGTTCCGAGATATTTTTAGAAGGCAAATTGGGTATTAGATAAGACATTACCCAGAGATTTTTCTCTCATTTTGTGAAGACTTTATGACCTGATTTCATGTTTTATATAAGCGCAAACCCCTCTAGTTAATTATCCCTCCCGATAGCAAGAGAGAACCTTCGATTAAGGCTAGTTGTCAAACGAATACGTAGTAACTGGTGTATAGTAGTAGCATGTTTAGGTATTTAAAATTGAAAATTTACCACTAAAGCAGATGGTGGGGGGAATGATGATGAACCCGATCAAGATTTCATGATTTCGTCATCCCGGGTCATTATAATCCCTAGTCTACTTAGTCAAAGGATTTAGTCGACCCAACCTGACCGAAGGACTCTTGTTGGTAGTCATGGGTTGCTTCGTCCAAGGGTACCTTGTAGACCTAGGGTGGATATTTGTCTAAAGGGATAAATTAGAAGCCACCATAGCTAACAAAGGGCTCTATGCCCTATCAGTCATATCCTATTGATTCATTACTCAAGGATTTGAAGCCATTTGGAGCATACAGGATCTGATCATGATCGTAATTTAATGGTGCCATTAAACCACTCGGTCAGAGGGTCCCGGTAATAACTATTTACTTGTAGTGTTATTTGATGGCAAAATCACTGGTTAAAAGACACATGCCACATCCTTACTGACAAAAGATAATTTGGGAATGAATCATAGTGATATTTTTGACCAGACATTTGCTCTTTGTTAGATGAAGTAAATTTCAGATTTGTTTGTTGACGAATATTTTCGCACCGACTCGACCCTGATCGAGCCCGCCAAAGCTCGATCGCGCTCAATCAATCCAATCGAATGTCGTCGAGATGAAATTGACTCAAATCGAACCCCGATTTGATTAAATTTTAACATTGAATCAATTTAATTTAATTTTAAATCAAATCAAATCAATTCAAACCCCGCGAGTGTCGGCGAGTTCAATTCGACGCAATTCGGCACTTTTCATGGCTCGATCCACTCTCTCTGGGGGT